GACGGCCCTTTCTGACAGGGAATTGCAAGTGGAACTTAACTATGCTCTCTTCAAAGCCAGACTCCATTGACAAAAACAGTAATTTTACCTCGCTGAACACAGGAGCTGCTGGTCTACCACTGCCTCGATGAGTTAGTTTGTTTGTTTCAGGGTTTGTTCGGATTCACCAAAGTCACACTAAAGTCAAAGTCACTAACTGATCGAGGCAGAGGTAGACCAGCAGCTCCTATGGTCAGCAAAGAAAAATTACTGTTATTGTAAATGGAGTCTGGTTGTGAAGAGAGCATTAAGCCCGTTTCCACCGCAGGAACTTCGGGGTAATTTTACGGGGCCGGGGCCGTTGGTGCGTGTCTCCACCGCAGGAATCACCCCCGAAGGACAGAATTCCGGAACTTTTACGGGGCTAAACAAGTCCCTGCCTCGGGGTAGGTACTCAGAACGGCCCCGAAAGACTCCCAGCTGGGGCTTGGGGATTACTTGGTGCTGATTGAATATACTCAAGAAGGGATGTGATGTCAACAGAAAGCAACAAAATAGCCGGCATTTTTAAAACTCAGCAGACGAGGGTTAGCTCGTTCATATAGCTTCCGCTGCCATGTAAAAAAACTCACTAAACGGTCCGTGAAAAAAATATTCTTTCCAGCGGATATCTTAGTTGCAACATGATTGAGCTAGCAAAGCAGTTTTGTGTTGCTATGTGTGGTATTTATTCAGTTTTGGGAAATCACGATGTCTAGAAAGCATCAGTGGCTGCAGCTGACAGGTACAGCTAACAGCAGCAAAGCTAACATCAGGATGTCATCTGTTAAAAGCCTCCCGTTGTCGGATACGACATGAAACTACTCCAGATAGCTCAATCATGTTGTAACTAAGACAGCCGCTGGAATTTTTTTTTTTTTTCACGGGCCATTTAGTTATTACAGACACTGCTAAGGGCTATCAGCTAACGGCGTCCCTACGTCGCCCCGGTAAATGGTCGCGCAACGATTACGTCACATCCAGAGCACGGTAACTTTACAGGAACCTTCCTCCTACTCCGCTCTCTCAGTGGAGACACGGCGGTTGAGAGGGCCGAGCGAGAGGACATTCCTGTAGTAGTTCCTGCCCCCGAAATAGTACCAGGAACTTCTTCAGTGGAAACGGGCCTTTTGAGAAGTTTCACTTTCAGTTCTGTTTCCTGTCAGAAAGGGCTGTTTGTTTGTGAAGTGCTGAGCATACCACTGGACAAGGCTTGGATACATTTTGCTGATGTTAAACGTAGCCCCCTTTTCACTCAAATTCATCCAGAATTTTCTTTATTTTTGGATTCTCTATTCACCATGGAAAAACAGTTGTCCTCACAAATTCAGTGTAACACAGGGCGACTAACTGACATATAAATGACCATTTAGGGGGTGAGGTATTCCTTTAAACTACCTAACAGTTTAGTCAAGTTAAATGTGAAACTCTTAACAAGTTTGATTTTAAATTATTTTACACTCAAAAATAACAAAGATGTCATGATTTCATTTTCTCAAATATTTCAAAAGATTTGCTCCTTTTTTTCCTTTGTAGTTTTTTTTATTTATTTTATTCTATTTAACTATTGTTTGCTTATTTGTGTTTTCTAACCATTGGTTATTTAGAGCAAACAATGTGGAGGTGTCATTTTTGGGCTCTAGGTAACTGTGATGGATGTTTCTAACAATTTTCTGACCTATGAGTTTTGGATACATAACAATTTTTTTTTTTTTAAATCACAAAATAAATAAATAAAATTGATCAAAGTAAGCTCCACTTTGTCCCAATAAAATTTAGTTTAGAAATTAATTATAATTTAATAGTAATGAATAATAGTGTAAAAGGTACATGGATAACTTTTCTGCGTCAAACACTTTTGATACTGAAAGTAAACTTTTCTGATTATATTTACTTTTACTTAACCAACATTTGTAATGCAGGACTTTGTCTTGTAATGTAGAGTGCTTTTACTTCAGTAAATGATCTGAATACTTCCTCCTCCACTGGTTCAGGTCTAAGAGTTCATGACCTGTCTTTATGTTAGTTAGATTAAAGTCATGCTGTCAGGAGGAAAAAAAAAATAAAATAACATCAACTCAATTAACAGGCAGTCGGAGTCCTCAGGAGGAAGATGCTGGTTTGTGGTTTCTGTGGGATTATGAAACGTATTTCATTCAGAGAGACTGACTCATGTTGACACCGGCCCGCAAGAGTTGTCAGCATGTGTTAGTCTACTACTGACATGCAGTCCGTCCTCAGACTGGCTTCCCTCGAATAGTGTGGATGTTTTAACCACATGTCAATGTCATCAGTTATGTGCTGCATGTTAGATTATAGTGTGTGCTCAGTTATCACGCTAGTGTGTTATCATGTGTCTCCCTTCAGTGATCCATCACTGTACTGCCACACAGCTGAGACGAGGGGTAAACATAAGAACACACAGCAGAGGGGTGTGTTATATGTCATGTATAATGAACAAAAAATAGTTCTTAAAGTGGGCGACCCCGGACTGAACTCTCTCAGGAGTATTTGCTTGTGTTCTTAGACTTCTATTGAATATGAATTAGGGGCGAAACTGTGGACTCAATACAATATTTGCCTATACTCACATCCAAATGTCAAAGCATGACAGAGAGACTCTATGTAAGAGCCACTGCAGTAAATATTTACATTTCAAATTCAGTAGGGTCTCTTGACTCAGGGTGTTTCTGATCAGCCACCAGAAGAAAATGCTGGCATTGTACATCTCTGCAAATCACGTGTATGTTACATTTGCAAGTGTCATATATATGTCAACGTTTCATATGTATGCCTTGTCAGTGTTTCTAAAGTGATGTATATATGAGCTGACTTTGTCGTGAGGAGGTGGAGGGGATGGTGGATGATGTGTCATCGACAAAGGAGCCTGCCAAGCTGCAGACTGCTGCAGACGGTTTGTTCAAAAAAACAACAAAACTGGTTGTTTTTCAGCGAGCCATTGCTGTGTGTCCACTGGGTTTTTAGCCCCCAGTCATGGGTGGTTTTTTTAGCAACCTGTGATGGCTTTTCCAGCAGGGATGTTGCCACAAAAAGCAGATGTTTTTACTGAAATATTACTGCATTTCCTGTCAGGATAGTTGCATTGCAAGAAAGCATTCTGTTTTTATGTGAAAAGTTGCTGTGTTTCTCGCTGGGATAGTGGTGCAAAACGCGGCTGTGTTTTCAACGAAGACATCGCTCCTTTCCAACAGGGATTGTGCCCCCAAAACTGGATATTTTAAGCCAGAACATGTCCCCTTCCACTCAAATTTGTAAAGCTTGAACAATGATGTATTTGAGTTTTTCTGCACTCACCTTAAATCTGAGTTTAAAGTAACTGTGTTGAGTTTTGTGGCCCCTGTGGACAGAAGCAGTAGTGTGTCCCCGAGCACCACCACCTCGTGACATAAAGATCTTGATCTGGTTGTCTATATGTTTTGGTAGCAAGTGAAAGCAATATGCAGCTTTATTTTTAATGCTAATTTTCTGTTTAAAACACAGCAGGATTCATAGTGATGAGGTCATGTATCTTTCACCCAGTCACCAAAAATAATGTAAACATTGTATGTTTATGCAAAATACGGATATGTTACACTTGTAAACTATTATGTAGGATACGTTAAAACCTTTATGTTTCGGGTGCCCAGAAGCTCAGTGGGTGTCCCATATGCAGGGGCAGTGTTCTTGCTACAGTGGCCGTGGGTTCAGTTCCAGCCCATGGCCCTTTGCTGCATGGCGTCCCGCCTTTCACACTCAATGCTGTCCTATCAGTTAAAGGCAAATTCAGAAAAAAAAAACTTTTATGTTTCAGCAATGGAAAAATTTAGTTATGGTTACAAAAAGATTTTGTTTGGGCTTAAAATGCCCAGTTTTGGAGGCAAAATCCCTGCTGGAACACAAAAATGTCGCAGTTAAAAAAAAAGAAAAAAAAAAGATAAGATGCTTTAAGGCAGTGATTCCCAAATGGTCCAACCACGGGGTCCAGATTTCTCCTTCGCCATTTCTTCAAGGTCCACACAGGTCAGTGTATTCAGCACCATATATCTCTGTCACGTGGCTGTCCCTTAGTCACTAACTCTACAGCAGGCAACGGCACTTCAAATTAAAAGATCTGTGCCGGAAATTCACTGTACTTAAAAAAAAAGTGTGTTTTTTAGAAACTTGACATGTTCCAAAGTCACTTGTGGTCCATGTAGAATGAAGCCGGGACCCACTTTTGGACCAGGACCCACCAGTTGGGAACCACAGCTTTAAGACATGAAAACTAGAAGCCAGTCTGGGTCCAATATGCAGCTTACATGCGTGATGTGGAGCCTTGAGACCTCCAAAGGGAGAATGAAAAGATGTAATATTTTTTAACTGTTTTATTTCTGTCTCCATCTGGAGCTGCTCAGTGTCTGACAGCAGAAGACTCGAGTGTGATTCAGTCTAATGCTCTTAAGTGTACATGCGTGTGAATGTGACTTATAGGAGCACTGAAGCAAACATCCCATGGGGAAACAAAGGTTAAACGTATCTGCTGGTTAATGTAATTGATTGTGATGGCCACAGTTGATGAAATTATTGCCTACAATGCTGCAGTGGAGTCGGTAATTAGCTCCGCAGTCAGAAATGACCGTTCTGCTTATCTTCACTAATTACTGAGACGATTATTTGAATTGTCTCAATTTGGGAAATAGAAACATGGCCACTAGAGGCGCTATCTGCATTTTGCACCATGGATTCACTGTTTGTTTAATCCAAGCTTTAATGGAGATGATTCCACGTGTAGTATCTGTGGTTATAAAACGCATTATTCAATTCCCTGCTCATTTATTGCTGTATTCTATTATATAAATCAGATATAGTGATGGGGCAGTGTGTGATGACACGGTGTTGGTCATACTGCAGGAACAGGGCGGATCTTAGGACCCGTGAATTCATCTCTTGTCGGATAATAAAAGTTGGGGTTATCCGTGTGCAGTCGACGTGCGCTAAAGCAGTCTCAAAGTGTGTGTGAGCAGCCCTTCTTCTTCTCCTGCTCTCTCTATCTCTCTCTCTTCCTTTATGTATATGTGTGTGCACATTGCAGTGGTGCAACAATAGCCAGCTGCGGGCTGTGTCTACATTCAGCCGCTGGGTGTCCTCACTGTAGGCTGGGCTGTCCGTGTTTTCCGGAAGAGAGGGTGTGACACATGGGACACATCTCAGGTCAGCAGCTGATCTGCAACACTTCTCGCTACGGGATCTTGGACGTGTCTGACGCCTCTCTGAGTCTGTGTTGATGGTCAGCTGTGAGCAGAGTGGACCAAACAGCGTCCATCCCTCCGGATCTCTGTGACTGGACCGCTCCAAGGGGCTCACACACGCCCGAGCACTCATTTGGGTGAGTGAAACTTTTAAGATCATCTCAAGTAAATGAGTGTTTGTGGCCACGGCTCGTGGGTCGGCGCTGGGGAAATATGGGGAAGTGAAGCTGCGTGTGTGCAATGCAGATGTCTCACAGTGCACGTGTTTCCTCGCCGTGTTTTATTGTTGTCCAGTCAGAGGCTCACCGTCGGGCTCGTAAGGATATTAACTCCTCTGCAGCTGCACTGGATTGTGACCACGTTACGCACGCGCGCGGGCACGCACTTTGCACCGTGAAACTAGAAGCTGCACTGAAATGCGCGTCAATAACGTGCCATTGATCCGTGTCATGCACCTGTCGTAAAATACGGTGTCCTCATACCCCACATATTTAACTGTAGGGCCTTTCAAACTGGGGTCCAGGGTCCCAGTGAGGGTCTCTGTAGACGACCCAAGCGGTCCCCAATAATCAGAGGATTTGGTTTTAGTTCCGTCCCATGACAGACATGTGTCTATGCTCTGGTTTCTCCTCTGACCCAGTGTCATGATAGTGTGTGTGTGGTGCCTTTTAATTGATTTATTCATTTGTACTGCAACTGCTGCACAAGTCATAATTTTGTGTCTCTTTGAAGTCATTTTGCATATTCTTGTGTCTGTTTGCAGTCAATGTATGTATCCTTGTGGTAATTTTGTGTCTCTTTGAGGTTGTTGTATGTCTCTTTGTAGTTGTTTTGTTTCTCTTTGAGATCCCCTTGTGTATCCTTGTGCTTGTTTTATGTCTCTTTCCAGTTCTGTTGTTTCTCTTTGATGTCCTCTTCTGTATTCTTGTGGTTGTTTTGTGTATCTTTAAGGTCATCTGTATATCCTTGTGGTAATTTTGTGTCTCTTTAAGGTTGTTTTGTTTCTCTTCGATATCCTTTGTGTATCTTTGTGCTAGTTTTATGTCTCTTTGTAGTCCTTTTGTTTCTCTTAAAGGTTATTTGTGTATCCATGTTGTAACTTTGCAGTTGTTTTGTGTCTCTCTGAAGTCCTTTTGTATATACTTGTGTTGATTTTATGTCTCTCTACAGTCGATTTGTCTATCCTTGTAGTCGTTTTGTGTCTCTTTGATGTCCTTTTGTATTTTGTGTATCCTTGTGGTTGTTTTTTGTCTCTTTGTAGTCCTTTTGTGTCTCTTTGAGGTCCGTGATGATCAGTATCTTCATTTCTGCTTTAATATTGCAAATTAAATATTTCAGGGGTTTTGAACAGTTATCTGCTTCCCTTGAGCCCTGGTTAAAATAAATGAACAGTATTCAGTGGTTTCCCACATTTTGTTGACAAAATGATCAAACAAAACAAAATTGAATGTATTATTCAGTAAGAATAGGAGCTTGTTGTGATGAACATGGTGAAGGACCTGCAACTAACAATTATCTTTATTTTCAGTTAATCTGCAAAGTATTTTCTTGATTAGGTGATTAATCGTTTGATCTATAAAATGGCAGAAAATAGTGAAAAGCCAAGCCAAAAAACATGCAACAAAACATGGTGTTCATTACTTCAAAATGACACGGTGTCTAATTTAAACAAGCGATGGTTTCATGTCCGCCTGAAGTGGTGCTCATTTCACCCTGTTCACAAGGCGTTTAATCCCTCATTCACAAGGCACAAGGCTGAATTGTTCCTTTGAATCTGCTTGAAGGATGACTTCAAAATGAATTGACTCTGTGCAGCGCTGCACCTTGAAAAACAGCGACTACATGAATGACATGCAACAAATTACTGTAGTGTCTTCACTTTTGTTCTTATTAACCCCGGACGAATCAATCAGAAAGTCTGCACAGTGTCTGCTAAGCAGAAAGGAAACCTGTTTCACTTTTGGTTGGTTTATTGTGGCAGTGTGATGCTCTTCACAGGCTGGTATTTAGAATGCACTGTGTTGAACTGTCTGGAGGCTGTGACATTGTTACTGAGCAGTTCACCTTCCCACTTACGCATTCATGTTGTGTTTTGTATGCAACCTTAGCATTAAATGCCACAAATAAGACTGTGGCACCTAGTATGATGGGCTTGTATCACAAATAAAATGCTTCACAGGATCATTGGCAGATTATGAGACAGTTGACACCTGGGTATAGACATGCAAAAGGCCCCAACACCCCTCCTACATATGAGGAAGACACATAGACTGTGGTGGTTTTACCTCTTTTGTTGTTGTTGCTTTTCATCTCTTTGTAGTCATCATGCATTTTGTGTATTTTTGTGTATGTTTTATGTCTCTTTGAGGCCATTTTGTGTATCCTTGTTGTTATTTTGTGTATATTTGTAGTCATTTTTTTGTGTCCTTGTTGTTTTGTGGTCATTTTGTGCATCCTTGTGGTTGTTTTGTGTCTCCTTGTGGTTGTTTTGTGTCTCCTTGTGGTTGTTTTGTGTCTCTTTGAGGTCATTTTGTGTATCCGCGTGGTTGTTTTGTCACTCTGCAGTCGTGTTGTGTATCCTTGTAATTTTGTCTCTCTTCTAGGTTGTTTGTCTCTTTGCAGTTGTGTTGTTTCTCTTTGAGGTCCTGTTTGTGTATCCCAATGGTTATTTTGTGTCTCTGAGGTAATTTAGTTGTTTTTCCTGTTTTTGTAGTTAATCTGTGTCCCTTCACAGTTCCTTTTGCATTCGCTGTGGTCTTTTTGTGTCTCTTCATGGTCCTTCCTGGTCAGTACATGTTAATTTGAGTGACATTTTGCAGCTAAAGGCCAGGGGTGCCCCTGGCACTTTGGTTGTCTGGGGCCTGTGGCCAGTAGGTCCATTCAGAAATCCATCCATGCCATCATGTGGCTGCCTTGTTTCTTGTCCTGATGTACCTGTGAAATTGCTGAATCTTACAGCAAAATTGTGTTTTGTCCAGTTGTGTGTGAGGAGAACAAAAATAGGCCGTGTTCTCAGAAATGTGCTAGTAGCAGTGTTTTATTAGTATGGATTTTTTTTGCGTGGATTTTCCTTTGTGTGATTTTCTCAAGTCATTTGGACTTGTGTTTGCATGTTTTATATGGTCTGCTTGGTGTAAATTAGCGATTCCAGCCTCACTTGTGTTTCTCTTGCCCACTTATTGTTGCTGAATGTGCTGACGGCTGTAACACTTCTTCACGTGGGCTTTGGTAATCATACCAGAGCTGCGACCCATGCAGCTACTGAAAAAGAGGACACGTCAACAGCTCCCAGCTCCTTCGGCCCCTCTGGGAAATCACTTGAGTAAGGCAGGGGAGGAAATGAAATCAGCATTGTGTGTGTTTTTATGTGTGTGTATCTTTGTGTGAATGTGTGCAGGTTTATGTGTGTATTAGCATTGCTGTGTCTTTATAATAAAATAATAATAAATGTCATAAACAGTTTTACGTGGAGGCCTGGACATCATTCACCCATATTATGTCAAGAGCAGCTGAACTCTTGAGAATCAAAGAATAAACAGCGAGCGTCTCTGCTCTTCAGCTGGTCTGTGCTGGTTGGAGAGCACTGCTGTACCCTGCTACTTCTCTTACTGCAACAATTTTCTATTTACAGTCATTATACCCATCGATTGTGATTACTAAATCTCTGTAGAGCTACATGCAATCTGCAAGAAGTGCTCTTCTTTTACAGTGCCAAACCAAAAGACGTGTGTGTGTGTGTGTGTGTGTGTGTGTGTGTGTGTGTGTGTGTGTGTGTGCGCGTGTGTGCGCGCGCGCGTGTGTGCGCGCGGCCACGAAGACAAAATTAAAAGCACTCAAAATGGATGAAAATTGAAATCCCTGCATGACCTTGACCAAGTGGTGTTAGACATCAACCCATACACCAGACTAGATGTTGGTATTGTTCGTTTTTCTTCTCTTTGGATATGTTGAAACTTAATGTTTCAATTTTATGTCTTGACAGCACTGTGGTTAACATGTGGTTAGGTTTAGACACAAAAAACACCTGGTTAGGGTTACGAAAAGATCATGTTATGGCCTGGTTTGGTCGCTACAAACATGGCTTAAAAATTCTCTTAACTGTCATTAAAATTTTTTGCTTTTGTTGCTGCAAACACTGCTGGAAATGTCCGTAACGCTTGTTAGAAATACCTGCTTTTGTCGCTTCAAACACAGCTGGACATGTCCCTTAAACTCTTTAAAAAAAACACTGCTTTTGTCACTGCAAACACTGCTGGAATTGTCCCGAACTCTTTTACTCTTTTACCCACTTTTGTTGCTGCTAACACGGCCGGACACTGCTGGAAATGTCTCGAGCTCTCGTTAAAAAAATACCTGCTTTTGTCGCTTCAAACACAGCTGGACATGTCCCTAAAACTCTTTAAAAAAACACTGCTTTTGTCACTGCAAACACCGCTGGAATTGTCCCGAGCTCTTGTTAAAAAAATACCTGCTTTTGTTGCTGCAAACACTGCTGGAATTGTCCCAAACTCTCGTTAAATAATATCCACTTTTGTCGCTGGAAACACGGCCGGACATGCCCCGAACTCTCATTTAAATACCTGCTTCTGTTGCTAAAAACATGGCTGGACATGTCCCTAACTCTTGGTAGAAAATAAATGCCTTTGTTGCAACAAACATGGCTGGAAATGTCCTGAACTCTCGATAAAGAAGACCTACATTTGTCACTGCAAACGCTGCTGGAAAGTCTGGAGCTCTCATTAAAAAATACCCATTTTTGTTTCTGTAAACAATGCTGGAAATGCCCCAAACTCTCGTGAAAAAAAGAACCGCTTTTGTCGCTGCAAACAAGGCTGGAAATGTCCCTAACTCTTGTTAAAAAGAATAACAGCTTTTGTTGCTACAAATATGTCTGAAATGTTCCAACCTTTCATTTAAAAATACCCCCTTTTGTTGTTTGTTGTAGTCATCTCTCCTATGTAATCGTAACAACAACATATGAAATGTACAAATGTAATGTGTAGTTTACAGACACATACAATTCCAACATTTTATTCTGGTACCTGGGCTGTAGGCATTAGTAGGGTTTGATGCTTGTTAAGGTATGAATGTACTAAAAGACAGCCTATAATTAAAACAGAAAGTCAGTTTTATTTTT